CAAACTGCTTTCATTTGTAATGTAAAGTGGATTGTGCTTTGATATTTTACGTAAATAGGTACTATTTTCCCAAATCTCTATCCTACTTTAATTTTTGTGATAAACTAAATAAGAGTAAATGGTAACTAGTGAACAATTTCAAATCTCTTAATTTTTAGAAAGGGAAAAATATGCACTAATACCAATAAAAAATTTTAAGAGCATCCTATTTTAAAATAGTTCCCCAAAATACAATTTCAAGAATATAGGCCTTAGCTTCTTTGTGAAGCAGTCAGGGAGGGTTATTATTGTTATTTGGTTTGGTTTTGAAAAGAGTATATCTCAGAATACAGAATATATTTGCTTCTACAATGAGTTATGTTGTCCAAAAATTGTTATATTTTCTTATAGACTTTTTCATTGCTGTCACTTAAAATTTAGCTTTTCTATCGATTTATTAAGCATGAATCTATTATCAGATTTTAATTCACTATTTTAAAGGTGTATTCAACATAAAACAAAGTACAAAACAGTGTCTTCCCAAATTAAAAAAAAATTTATCGTCAAGACAACAGTCATTGCTAATTTGTCATCTTTCTGTACTTGAATTTTCTTTAAAAACTAGTTTATGGGAAGTCAAAGGTTGTCTAGTTGAAATTTTTTTTCCAGGCGTGTTAAGTGCATTATAATAAAGTCAGCAATAAAAATGGGTAATAATCAGAGTGATGATAGTTCCTGGTTGAATTTGCTCTGCAGAGTGCATTAAGTTAGGAAAAAAAATGAAGATACATTCCGTGGACCAAGGAGCAGAGCACATGCTGATTCTATCCTCAGATGGAAAACCATTTGAGTACAACTATAGCATAGAACATGAAAGGTAGGGAACTTTTTTTAATTAAAAAAATTATTTCAATTTTACTTAAAAGGCAATTATAATTTGGTAGCAAAATTTTACTTTATATGATCCTTGTCCCCTGCTTTATATAGTGGCATTTTAAGTAAACCATGAATTCTGAACTGACCAGTGAATTCCATGAGTAAATTACAAACCAATTCATGTCACCTAGGCCACTTATCCTGTGTTGCTTTGACATTTAAAGACAATGATTGGTTAGTCTGCCTAGTCCCAAATTGGACTTTCACATTCACTAATTCATAATAATCTTATAAATTAGATTTCTAGAATAAAATCTAATAAATCTAGAATAAAAGTATTCAATCAAGGAAAAATACTTTATCATGGAATGATTTGTGATACTTTCTCTTAGTAGATCATAAGAATTAGAACTTATTTTCATCTTGTATTATTCCTGTATCATAAAATTATTTTATAAAAGTCTTAGAATCATCTTATTACAATTATATAATGCATATTATTTTCCTTTTAAACCACTGGTTAAAACATTTTTGTAATTGCATATTCATAATAATTTAGATGTACTGAATGTGAAGCAGTAAATTATAAATTTTTTTCTTAAGCTTCAGTACTAATTAAATACAGTTAATAATTCTAACATTGATGTTGTGGCTTTCATTCATATAGTGATTGGCATAAAATATATTTTCTTTCATCAGGCTTCAATGTTATAGTTTTTTTCAAGAAAAAACTATAATTCAGATCACCTGTGGAGATTACCATTCCCTTGCACTCTCAAAAGGTACTTTTTGGGAATATTAATTGTTTTTTTAGAGGGAGTAAATATGTGTATATATAGAACTAATAGAATGTGTATGCTTTACTTCATAACAGGACAAAAATATGGTTTTGAATTTGATATAGTTCAGAACACTATTCTTACAGGAGGTATAAAATGAGAGAATTCTTGGACCTATAAAATCTTCAGATTTCCATAATTACAATTCCTACATTTTATTCTGTCAGAAGACAAAAGTAAAACCATTTAGTAATGAGTTTGATGTCCTTTATTCAGAGGAAAATGATCCATGAATTGGGGAGTAAAGTGCCTCACAAGCAATGGAGCCTTCTTCCAGTGGATTCTGGGCAAGAGCAAGTTTATAGAGCATCA